CACAGGAGGTCCCCTGCTTACCTTCTGCACTAGCTGCTCGCCCTATTTGGGATGGCCCACCCTAAACTGTAGTGACCCTTTTTCTGTCAGGCCATCACTTCCATGTGTCCCATAACCTAAAGAGACAGTAGACATCCATGTTACTGTCGAAAGGCCCATGATTTGCTGTGCTCAAGCAGCAGTCAGTGTGTGTGGCCATTCAGCCTGGCCTTCAGGATGGTGTGGCGCTAGGAAGGGAGAAGATTTGCGGGGAAACAGAGACATGTTATGGCCCTGTGCTTGGTCAGATGGGATGGATATGGTCTTCAGTGCTGTTTCTTTCAGCATCTTTCACTGAGCTGTGGTGCTGATGCAGGAATTTGTACTGTGAATAAACTACAAATGGAGGAGAACCACATGGTCACTGTTTCTCTCCCTTTCAGCCCCTCTGCAGAGCTCAGCAGCATGCATAGACCTCGCATGAAGTGTCTGAGCAGCCATATATTCCCCATGGGATCTCCATAACCAACTTGAAGCTGCTTCCCCTCAGGCAGGAGAAAGGCAGAACAGTGTCCCGAAGAGACCCACCAGCAGAAAAACTTCTGACAGCTCACCACAGACCACACTGAAGCAGAGAGCTGGCTGCACTGCCTCCAGGAGAGCTCTTGTACGTGGTGTCTTGTGGACGCTTATGGATCCCTCCTCCTTCCCTGGAAATAGGCTTCAACTTTCCCTTCTCCCTCCTGGGATGCTCCAGGTTCTGTAGCCACACAAATCACTGGGAAACAGAGGAACAAGGGCTGCTGAAAAAAAGAAAAAACTGCCATGCTCTTCAGTATTTCTGTGGTGTTTGCTGCGGTTGTGCTCTTTGTGTGGAACGTATTGTGGCTCATGTCGCAGAAACTGAGGTGAAATACTTAAATAAATGAGTCCCCTTGAGAAGAATCCAGGCAATGGGGAGATGACTGTTCAGTGACCTGGGCAGTATCCTGGCTACACGGGGAGTTTCCCGTAATGATAAGACTACAAAGGAATATTTATTTATCTAGATACTTATTCAGCTTTCATCTTTGGCAGCGTTTCTCAATCAGCCATTTCAAAATGTTTTGCCAACACTAATTAACCCTTGCAGCACCTCTGTGGTAGGGATCAGCATCTCCACATCACAAACGGGGTGACTGAATGGAGAAGAAAAGTAACCTCTTCAAGAAAGAAACAAAGGGAGCAAAGAAATAACAATATCCTGAAATCCCAGTCCCGTGTCCTACCAAACCCTCCCCCCAAGTCCCCGAATTTGCAGCCATCCTGTTGGGAACATAAGCAGCAACCTGCCGTTCTTATCATGCCAACTGCCTTTCTCAGCTGTGCATGGAGGAAGCACTGTCCAGACATTTAATAAGCCCCAAAAACATGGTGCCCTGAAGCAACATTACACAACCCAGAAATCCCTAAGGAGGTGCAGCACTGGTCAGCTGCACAGCCTATGCCACCAGGCAGATATTCCCATGAAGCTGCAGGTGCTATTTTTTCCATTCATTAACCAAGTTAATGGTGGCTGAGAATAGACCCCACATCTCCTTCTGGCCTTAAAAACTTTTTTACCCTCAAGGAAATACAAAGCCTAAGTAAGTGGCTTCAGGCAAGTGTGGGACACAAACAATGAACCAAAGCTATGAGGAGCTTGCACATTTCCAAAAATTCACAAAATACATCTCTGCTTTTAAGTAATCTCTGTTCCAGTTTGGGGAAATTAGTGTTTAGCAAGGATAGCACAGAACAGAGCAATGGATATATTAATGTATCATTCATTGATATAGAGATTATGCCAGACAGAGCCACAGTTGTTCAAATGTCTTATCTTTCTGTTACCTATTTCTGTGATGTTACCACTGCGTCAAATTCACAATTCTGTAATAAACTGGTATTTCTGAACAAAGATTAATTGATATTGTGCCTTTTGAAAAATGCATCTTAAGTACAATTTATTCCTAATTTTTTTTTAAATTGAAATTATTCTGTAGTCTGATTTTTCTTATATACTGCACAAATATACATTTGGGAAGTTTCCCAAAACATACTAAAGATAGCACTATGGTTTTCTGCATCACTGCTAAAAATCAAAGCATTCACATGGAGAATAAAGAGAAATTTCTTTCTCTATAAGCATTTTCCTTCTGTTGCCTGAATCCAGTCTCTTGATAATCAGCAATTACAGAAAAGAACTATAACAATCAAATGGGAGTTAGCACTTAGAGAAAATCATGCTATTTATTGCATGAGTAATTCAGATGGAGAAAGCTTGTTGAAAACCTATCAGTAAATGAAAGAAACTTTACTTCAGAAAGCTGAAATTGTATTCATAGAGAGTCTAAAGAGTCTAGAGAAAAACACGATTCATTTGGAACTGATTTGGTCTTCTCAGAAACAGGAAAGAGTAAATATGGTGATTTAAGGATCTTTTCTTCCATTTAAATGTATTACTTTTTTCAACTGTTATTTTACCCAATCTTCTTCAGAATTATATTATATTTTGGAAGGTGATATTTGGGTTTCTATAGCACTTGGGGAACCTCCAGTAAATGACAGTTCATTCACCCATACCACACATAGTCTCCAAACTGTGACTGTTCAGACTTTACAAACAGAAAGACCAAGGCAGAGGCTATGAAATGATAAACTAGAGTCATTTCCACATTCAGGGGCTCCAGCTCCCATTTCCTCCACCCACTGCTTTGCTTCCAGAGATGGGATTAAATACCCGATTCTCAGGCCGTGTGGACTGAAACAGTGAATAAAGAACCCAGCAAGCCAGGAAGACCTCTGGCACCACAGGAGTTTTCTTCATTTTCCATTCCAATGTCTGGTTTGAACTGCTGCATTGCAGCCAGGCAGGTGATTTTGTGAAGACTCCCATGGTTGCTGGGCTCCGGGAGGACCCACCTGGCTCAGCCCCACTCCATTGGGGTTGGGACATTTGTCCAAGCTGCAGAGGACACGGGCCTAATGCAGAAAGGAGCAATGCATCCCTCCCGTGCATCCCTCCCTCCCGAGCATCCCTCCCTCCTGTGCCTGCGGGTCCCGTGCCGCCTGGCACCCGGAGCGCAGGTTTCCATGGCAGCGCAAACAAGACACAGAGAAAAGCCCGGAGCTGAGCAGAGCTGCACCGCGGCCGCGGCCACGTCCGCATCTGACCACAACCCCCTCCACGGAGAGGAGTCCAGAGCAGCTCTGTTTTGGGTGAGAAACCAAAAAATAAAGAGGTGTGGGCAATCACAACAATTTCTTCTCTGTTTTTGACATAGGTGCAGCGTCTCACTCAGATAAGTGGAGGTGCTGGCGTGTGTCACTGGGAAATGACCCGCACTAACCCCCCCATTTCTGTGGGTGAGTGGGAGGGTATGTTTTGGGAAATAGGACACATCTGTCCCTGGAAGAGTTGCACTGTAGTTTAAAACTTGGAGTGGTTTCCCAGCGAACACAACAAGCCTTCTCTGCAAGCAATGGTATCATTTAAATAGTTTGAGTGTATAAAACATACGCTCAAGCAATGCTCTGGGAACATGGTGGATGGATTTTATTGTATTATTTTTTAGAACTATTTGCATGTTTACTTTGGCATATTTTCTTCTGTGCAGCAGCTTGAAGCTAGGGAAAAGCACTGAATAAATGCTTCAGTAAATTAAAACCATGAATGCCTTATCTATTGATTCATATACTACTGGCCATTGGTATGTAGCTACTGAAACATAAAACTGTCAGAAGCAGTGATATATAAGCCAAATTATTCTAGCAACAAAGTAATTTTAAATTTTTTATTTGCATTATTGAGCTTAATAATTGTAACTAGCACAACTAGCACTTCTGTAGCTTTTGGCATTATTTCCAATGTTATGTGCAATCTATTAAAAAAAAACCCCAACAACCTCAAACAAAAAATACCTTGATAAAATGAATATTTCTAAGTTAATCTTAGAAACAGATTCCTATACTTTGCTAAAATTATATTGCAAAGCACTTTTTATCTCAGAGGGTTGCACTGACAATTATTTTCCATATGACAGTATCCCCTATCTAGCCCTGCTTTTCAGTCCCATTCCCTGTAGCAGGAATTTAAATCAACCACATAAACAAGAAGATTTTTATGAGAAAGGTTTTAGATCACAGAAGTCAAGGTGGGCACTACCAAGAGGGCTGAACATCCAGGTGTTTGCTGCAACTGCTCTGCATATTTCACAAAGTGTATTCAACCGAACGCTGCAGGTTGTTGACTGACTTCCCACCACTGCCCTGCTGGGGTTTTCTCCAAAACTCACATCATCAGCAGGGGTTATGTTTTTCCAGGACGTAGATGAGGGACCCTTAGAGAAAAACATCCCATTAAGTTATGCGAAGTTCAGAGAGACAAGAAACCTAAGCAACCAGTCAAGGAGGCTTTTGGAAAAGGTACTTCAAGAACTGAAAAGGAGAGAGAAAATGTTTGGGATGTATTCAAACAGCCTAAATTCTACCTCAGCCTCTGTGTCTCATCAACAGTGAAAGTCTGACACCTCCAAAGAATAAGATACTAATTGGGCAGCTGCAGAAACACAGCCAATAGGAAACACAAAGCACCAAGGACGTACATGGAAATTAGGCCAGATGAGTTTAGCTCAAAATACATAAAATCTGGAAGCTGTTCAGAGCAAAAAAATATGCTCTAAAATAGCCTTAAAACTAGTGCAGCAGAAGAGGATATTTTCTGCTGTGTCTTATACTAGTACAGATTATGAATGGTCCCAGCGGCAGAATTGCATCAATTGAACTAACACCTCCCTGGTCCCAGCTTGCTGCCTTTGTTGATTAAAGGATAACTTTAACCATGGTCTCTGTTCTTTGTAAGTGAGATCATCACAATTATGCCTTTTCCCCTGGACCCATAGCAAAGACTACAAAAGGAGACTGGATTCAGAGAAACACAAACCTAACCTTCAACAGTTTGCCGGCCTAAAATTAAACACAACAGAGTTCCCTACAGCATATCTGCACTGTCCAACGATCATTCAGCCTTAATGCAAGAAATTCACAGTGCTGAAGGAATTACTGGTAAGAGCTTCAGGGACTAAAAATGTTGCTTGTGAACCAGTGATAGGAGGATTAAAAAGTGTGAATGTGGATCAGAACCGGAGATGTGGGTGGAACAAGGGGCAAGGGACTTGAGTTGCCTGTTATCTCTGAACTGTTTTGTCTTTGCTTTCCCATCAGTGTGTGTGTAAGGAGGACTGTGGTTTACACAGCTTTCACATAAGCCAGGGATGAGCATCACCTTTCTGGGGTCAGAACACAAATATTTTCCAGTTTACTGAAGGGTTTTGTTAATTCCTACAGACACAAAAGGCTCAGTGGTTAAGATCCAGAAAGCCCCTAGGCTCGCCACTGCTGTAAAACCTACTGCTTCAGTTACTGACAGGTCCCAACTGATTGATTTGTTTATGGTTTTCCTTAGGCCAGGGTCAAAGATGTCATCTCCACATACAGAGTCAACATCTACAAGTCTTTCTTCCAAGCCTGGAATGGAAACCCAGCTTATGCCATCAGGTAAGGTCATGACACTCTGGCAGCTTTTCACTGCCAGGTCAAAGGAGAGGCCTGTATTCAGACTCTTCTGCCCACAATCTGATGAGATACAGCCTTACAAAAATCCCTGGCTGAAATTCTGAGTTGATCAGCAGATACGGTCAAGTGACATAAACAATACAGAGGTCTCAGTTATATCACTGGCTTCTTATAAGCGCTGTCCATCCAGCTCCCTGCTCTTGATTCAGCATTGTTGGATATCTGCAGCTGTGAGCACAGCTGAAGAGGGGAGCACACCCACCCTTTAGGCATGATGCAGCAGATCAGAGTCCCTTTGCACTGGGTCCTGATATTCTGCTTTGTGCCTTCTACATCTGGATCCAATTTTTGCAGAAAGCCCAGAAGAGGATGAAGAAAACCCAATGAAAAATCCATTTACAGTTCCTCCAGATATCGATGTTTTCTCAATAAGGCACGAGGAAATAAAAAAGGCTAAGGCGGTAGGTATACATACTTTAGGCTAATGTATATACAACCAGTTCTCTAGGGCAGACAACCTAGCAGTGTAATACCAAAATTTAGTGCATGAGAGTAATAAGAGCTGACAAATTCACCTGAGACTCCCCCAGATCAGCTTCAACTCCACTGAAGTCCCTGATGAGAGATTAACTTTACCAAGAGCAGATCTGAGCACAGGCTTGCTGGTTGCTAGTGCAAAATTTTGATATTTTCACTCTGTTTACTTACTTCAGGGTAGATTTACCACTCATTCCTGTTCCTGGAGAAGATACCTGCCAGTGCTGGTAGTATTGATTTCTACACAGAGCTGTGGTGCAAGATCTCTTGCTTTCCACTTCAACAGGCTCAGCTTTCTGCTTGGGAATCTGTATTCCAATGTTTGATAGGATCTTCTGAACTGCCAGTGAAATGAATGCCTATGAAGAAGGATGACATGGGTTTCATGCCTTAGGTTTCTCTCCATAAGACAGGGAATTGCAACCTACCAGACCAGAAACCTGGGTCTTGGGAATGTCTCTTTCTTATTTCTGCCATGGAGTTTCCTTAGGGCATGCAATCCAAAGGGAGTGGGAAGTCATGGAGAGATTGAGACCTCTCTGAGAGGTCTGATTGTTGCACGTGGCAGTAGTGTGGAAGCAAGAGGTCTTTGTTTCTAAATCAAAAAGGGAGGGCTCCAAACAAGCTTAAGCAAGCCTCCTCACCTCACAGATGACTGATATAGTCTGGTTTTAACTTGAGTTGAAGGTCATTATGTAAGTACGGGGAAGGGCTTAGAAAGAAGTACATTACAGATGTTTGCTGAGTGATGTCCTCAGCCTAACCCATGCCCAAACTGTGCAGGCAGCAATGAATTACACTTCAGCCCATATGAAAGCGCTGAGCATGAACAACCTTTTACCCTCCAGAAAGCTCTGGAGCAGATTTGAATAGATCCTCTCAATCTAAACTTGAAGGTTCATAGGCCTTTGTGAAAGTTGGACTGAGTGTACTGAGCATGGGCTGTCCTGTTGCTCCCTTTTACTAGGGTACTTGAAGGATGAATCTCTGAAAATTTCCGTTCTCTCCCAGGAATAATCTAGGAAGGAAAAATGAGGACACTGAGTAGGTACAAACTGGCACAGCTGGTGGCTGGATGCAGAATACAAATCAACAAACTAATCTGAGCAAATGCTAAGAAATAAAGTGTTTCAGTTGCCTTAAAAGAGAATAGCATTGGAATTAGTCAGATAAACAAGGCAAACATGGATCAGCAAGGTATCAGTAGCCTGCAAATTTGTAGACTGTGAATAACCACTCATGTCTTTAAAAACCACAGCAAACAAAGCACATAGTCAAACTGGTCCACATAATTGACTTTTCCTCATAGGAACGTGAAAGGATGAAGACCATGAAAATCCATGAGAAAATTACTTACTCCACTAAAATAAAAGCAAAGCCAAAAGGGCTCAGAAAAGCTCTTCAAAAGGAAGAAGAAGAGGAGGCCAGAAAACAGGCAACAAATGAAAAGGGATTGAAAACTCTTCTGGAGAGTGGTTCATGGAAGACAGCCATTAAAAACAGTAGGGAACAGTTACTATCTTTGTAGTGGTGCTGCTCAGCTGGATAACAGCCTAAAGCAAAAATCAAAGAGGGGATGGGAGTAGCAGTTAGCTCTAGCTGACTTTGGTGAGTTCTTGTAGACGCACAGGTTATATGCTGCATCTTGCCAACCTCTGAGTGGCTGGGCCATCTAGAGGACAATTGATCTTTGTCAGGACCAGATTCTCCACTCCATTCTACCTGGTTTTACGCCACAAAAGCCCATATGAAACTGATCCTAAACAAGGTTAAAATTATAATAAAATAATTTGTATTGCTGGCTGCATTGCCAACCACATCAATGCTTGTGGCAGCCTCCATATTCACTGTGTTTTGTCTTGGCCATATTTCCCCCTCTAATCAGATTAACTTTATGTCCTAATTTCAGATTACTCATTAGGAAAGGAGACCTTGCATGACTACATAAATAACAGAAAAGATATATTTTTACTCGAGGTAAGGTACTTGGCTATATGAATGTTACTTTCTCTTCATTTAACTATTCCTCCCTGTGTTGCTTTGTTTTGGTTTTTTGTTGGGTTTTTTTTTTCTCCCCGAGATCCATTGCCTAGAGGCCACACCAAGTAGGCACAATCAGACCTCATGAACTATTGTCCAAATCCTGTGTTAAAGACATTCAAAGTCTATAGCCCAGCAATCCCTCACCAAGAAAGAAATGAACATAGGCCATTAGCACCATCCAGCAGCAGCCATGCAACTATTTCATTTGTGAGATGTGCAGATATAGTAACCTTTCGGCTCTTGCTGTCCCATACATAAATTATAGCTGGGAGCCATTCTGAACTCAAAATAAAGGAGCCATGCTGGAATATCCTCATTATTCATCTCTATTATTGTCTGTAACACAAAGTAATCATTTTTTGTCAGCCAGGAGTTAACGCAGTGCTGGGACTTCTGGATTCTGTCTTTATTTTCACTGCTTATTTGCTATATTACTTCTGAAACACCTCCTGGTCTCCTTATACTCAGTTTGCACTAGGACTCATACCTTGGTTTGAAATCCTTACCCTCTCTGCCAACAACTGTAAGGCAATAAGGTAAAGAAGAACAAAGATAAACCACTATACCTTTAAAACCAATCAACTGATGTGACTGTGCTGCCTTTTGGGTTCGTTTCAGTATGCCATGGCAGTAAAGAGAGATGAGATGCAAAGGATGAAGAATGCAGCAAAGAATGAGGAAAGGAAAGTGGAAAAGGCTGAATACGACCTGGAGAAGAATGTTGCCATGTTTGATGAGTACCTGAAGAAGGGCGATAAAATCTGTATTCAAGTCCTGAAAAAGTAATGGAAGTAGAGGGAACCACCTGTGTGCTCTTTTGTGCTGGATACAGGAGGTCTTTTGCTTGACCTCCCTGCAGGGTTTTGGCTAGCATCCATCCTCGAATGCTCTCTGTTTGAGTTTTCCCAGAGTTACAGTCCCAGTGGCACTTTCTCCCCATACATTCAATAAAAGAGAGGAAGGAGACCAATAGCTGGGCAACCCCCTAATTGCAAAAGCCTTTGATTTGGCTGCAGCAAGGAACCTGCTGTTCACCCCACCACTTCTGTTCTTCTCACAAGCCCCTTATGAGGGGGAGATGCTTCTGCCCAACTCCTCACAGCAGGAAGAGTCCCCTAAGTGAAGAAAGTTAAACATTTTGGCCCATTACAGGTATCACAAGTGCAGGGCAGCAATTGATGCTCAGCAGCAGCCAAATTAGGGAGACCCTAACCTGGAAGTGTCACTGGGACCCCATACTCTCTTTGCCAAAGCAAGTAGGGCCTTCAGGCAGGAGCTAAGCATCACCTGGGGAACACGTGTAAGAGATTCCTAGCATTCCTCCCACACCTTTTTCTCTGTTTTATATGCACCTCAACTCACTACTACTGCTAAATTGTTTTATGGTTTATGTTTCTGCATTCTTCCCTAGTGGTGAAAAACAAGCTGCAGCTAAGACAAACAAAACAAGGGAGCTCCAGGCAATCATTTCCCAAATAGAGAACTTCCAAAGGTAATAGTTGCACACTATTCCTGCCTGGCCTTTAACAGTCCCTGCAGTGCTGAGATCTCACAGCTCTTGGGGAAAAAGGGAATCGGGGAAAAAGATTTCTAAATATGTTCAATTTTACGAGTCAAAATGTTTCAGCTTTTGTTTTCCAGATGCTAGCTTTGCTTCTAAAACTTCTCATCTAGTTTTTTAGTGGTGTTTTCAAAAAGCATAAACATTCCGAAACTAAAATTAAATGCTTAGTCTCAGATTAAAAACCAAACAAAATTAAGTAATGCATTTTAATGGTGAATTGGGAAAGAAGAAGAAAAAATATAATTCGCATTATGAGTTGAGCTGTCAATGTTCCTCATCCATTTTCAAGTAAAAATTTCCAAATTAGCAAGCCCCATGCCATAGCAAGGGTCTGACCACAGAGATGTGACCAGACAGCTTCCACACGAGGAACCACAGAGAGCATATGCAGGGCAGGTGCTTACTTGTCTTTGCATGTCCATGAAGACACGTGTCCTCTTGTCCCTTCTCTGGGTGAAGCTGAATATCAAGAGTTAGAAAGAACCTGTTCAACCAGGGGCTTTCCTCCCTGCTAACCAACTTTGTCCACTTCTCTCACCCCAGTGATATATTCAGATTCAAGGATACTCTGCAGGAGTACAAGACGTACAGGGACTTCCTCTACCAAGTATCTCCAAAAAAGTGGCAGGAGGAACATGGAAAAAAGCACACAAAGGAAAAGGATTTGAAAATAACATTTGAAACTAATGAAGAAAGTGCCTCATTTCTCACCGTTGCAAAGCAGGGTGAGTGCCAGGGAAGAACTGCCCACTCCTCAATGGGACAGTCCCATGCTCTAAGTGTACATCTCTTCTTGTTTCCAGTCCAGGGTCTGACAGTAATGACAAATGCTGCCAGTCCCTATCACATCAGTTACACAGATCTGCCAGGTTCCATGCTGTCTTCAAAATATTTGGAAATCAGCTCATTATATGAAATCAAGCCACAGCTCAAAAGCTTCCTGAAGTCTCTGTCAACAAGAAAACTGTAAGTACAAAACAGGGCAAAGAACAGACTTAAGTAGCGTAGAGAGCACTCAACTGACTGGGAGTTGGTACAGAGGAGACCTACTCCTCACCTTCACTGTGATCATACCAAGATCTCGGTCTTACCAGAACAAATCCAAATACCAGTAGGAAGCCATCAAGTGCACAAGTCAGTACCTATGTACCTACTGCAACAGAACTCCATCCTCAAATCTCGGCTGAGACCCTGCCCAAAGAGTTTCAGGTGGACCTTGACCCCAGGAGGAATCACAGACCTTGGGCATTTGTTATGGGCAAAGCTTTTCTGTGCCTATTTGTGGCTGAATTACTGGTTCACTCTGTTGGTCACAGCTGCCGTGCAAATAACTGTGTTGTTTTGCCATTAATGAAGGTCCAAGGTCACTGTAGACCGATGTTACATTGACTGTCTACTTTTAGGAGGAGCCTCCAGACAGTATATGCTGGGTTGCAGGCACAGTAACGCTGCTGTAACATAGGCAGTGCCAGCCTGAGAAGAGGAAGGGCAGGTGGGAATATAAGTATGGCCAGCTCCAGCTTCTTGAGGTAAAGAAAGAAATTGCCTGGAAAAGCAAAGTGTGAGTGGCTGGGGGGGGTCTTTAAGGCAAAAAAAAAAGGGATTATCAATAGAGTTTGAACTAAGCCATTGCTTGCTGGGCCATTTCCTTTGCCTCCACTCAGAGCATTGCAGGTGCCAGGTCCTGCCAAGCAGGGCTGCCATTTGCCACCCCTCCTGAAGCCACTGCAATTACTGGGCTGATGCCACATGGCAGGAATTATGCAGAGGCAAGTAGAGCTGACATTAAGATGATGTATATGGAAGTTTTTCACTCCTCCATGGAACAGCGTGACAGGTGTAAGTGAAGGTGACGAGCAGACTCTGCTCTGCTCCCAGCATCCAGCAGGCACCTCTTGCCTTGCTATTCCAGCTCTTGTGCTGGCTTGTCCCTGGGGCTGAGCAGGAAAGAAAGAGGCCATACTGCTGGTTAAAGGTAGTAGGCTGTGCAGAGGAAGCAGCATTCAACAACCTTCTCCCAGGGCAGGTAAAAACTGCAGACCCCCATGGTGGCTACACCATGTTCTTTTAGGCCTCTGCCTCCTTGTTGCCCAAGAGTCCAGCCTCTCATCGAGTTTAAAGGCGTTCTGATCACCACCCTCAGTTCAGGCTCATGCGTCATGTCCTGACCCAGCTGGCCAGCAGAGCCTGGAGCAGCTCAAAAGGCAGCTTGCTTGTGGACAGACAGAGCTCCCACGCTGCGTGTTTGTGTGACCCCCAAACAGCCCACAGACACAGGGGGCCAAACGCGTGAATGTGCAAAGGACTATTCAGGATGAAATAGCAACAGCAAACAACAGTGTTCATAATTCACTAACAAGGTCTCCTTTAAGCTGTTATTCCTCTAAGGGGCTGACACACAAAATGCTTTTTCAGAAGTTCACTGGAGGATGCAGAAAGTGAAACCTACTCGGACGAAGATGAGGTCAGAAGTCTCGTGTTGAAATATTTACACTTTCTGTTTGTCCTGTGTCATTTATTGATGTTACTAATTTCTCTCACCTTCTAACCATTCATTATGGTATTAAGGAGTTACTGTAGCCACTAATTATAAATGTATGTTTGTAAATTCATAAATGTCCATGTTTTAGCAACACATATTATAAATACTTTAGTTTCACTTTCCTCCTCCACCTTCCAAAACCCTACCGTCACATCAAAGCTTGCCATCCCCCACAAGATATAACCTCATCTAATGGGAGATTCTGAAATTAGTGGAGTTATTGTTTTAGGTCTAAAATCGAAAGTTTCCCACTCACAGATGTTTCCACCACTTTTTACTCCCCAAAATGCAACTTGTTTTGGGAGTGAGCTACTAAGGTAGCATAAAGATACAAACACAGCAGAGAGGCGAGAGACATTTGTACAGGGGCAGACATGGACCTCTCTACATGGGAGAGCATTTGACCAACCAGGGCTGGTGCAGTCCAGCCTCCATGTAGTTCAACGGAAAAGAAACCAGAGGACAAAAACTCATCACATGTGTTTTCCATTCCAGCAACCTGAGTTGTACTTTACTGATCCCCAACAACTGCTGTCTGTTTTCACCGAGATGAAGGAAGAGAACTTTTCCTTCCTGCAGAATTCCCAGGAAACCGAGGAGAGTTTGAACAAGGTCCAACACACTTTCATCATGACATATGAAAGGACGTAAGTGGGAGCCTGCAACTGGTGGGAAGGGGTCCCTGTGCCCCAGCTTTCAAACATAAGTGACCCCCTCTTTCCCCCACGAGCACCTCGCCAGTAGACTGCATGCTGCAGACCACACGTAACGCTGTTCACGCAGCACACAACAGTCAATTTCTCATACCTGAGAGCCCAGCTGCAGCCCATCCAACTCACCTTCTTGTGAGCTCCTAAGAAAGTGTCCCTTCTACATAGTTTAGGAGACAGGACTTGAGCTTGGGTCTAGTTCCTTAAGCCCTCAAGGCACAGGCTGGGGAACTAATGCATTTAGCATCCTGGAGTGGACATTAGCCTGAAGTGTCCTGTAATTCTCATAAAGGAAGATCAAAGGAAGAAACAAGGCACGTCCTGGAGTGATCCAGACCAGCACCTGTTCTGACTCAGTGCAAACCCTTCCTAATCCTTTCCCATAAGGCAGCAGGGAACCCAAGTGTAATTCCAATACAGCATTGCAATGGCAGGTGGACACACATGCTCCTATTTAAAGTGCAGCTTATCCCCTTGTGAAAGTTTTCTAACTTCCCCCATTGACTTATTAAAAAATCTTGACTGTTTAGCTCTGCTACTTCTCCCTCCCCCACACCAGCACAATAACTTACTCCAGAAAAATCACCAGTTCCCGCTGCTCGCAGAGCTGTGGGTGCAAGTTCCCCAGAAATGGCATGAAGTGTTACCTCCATCTGCCGGCAGCAGGAGGGAAGGTCCAGGCTGGAAAGCAGCAGAGAAGCCATGTGTTTCCTTTTCAAAATAACCTCCTTCCTCTTCTGGCCTAGGGAGAAGAAATTAGCAGAGCTGAAACAGCAGGTAGTCACCCTCAAATCCTCCATCGCCAAGGAAGAAGAGAGATTAGCAGATCTGAAGCTCAAAGTTCACCACCTTACCTCTGGAGAACACAAAGCTGATGACCATGTACATCCTGAGATCAAGGCAAGGGGGTTAGCATGCGCATAAATGGTTCCTCTCCACCAGCCATACCCATCCTGGGTAAAAAAGCAGACAGTGGGTTGCACTGGGGAGGGATCAGCACTGTTTCTCACCCATGGAGCTATAGGAAGGGCAGGTCTGGGGCACTGCTGAGGCAGCAAAGTGAGGCAAGTGTGTCTACACCATGCAGCTGCAACGAGCTGGGAGTAGGGCTCGCAGAGGCAACCGTGCAGCTGCAACATGTTCCAGGCCACAGCAAAGCTGAGAAGATGAGCCCAACAGAAGAATGGCTCAATACAGCCATCTAACCCAGACACTGGTGCTGAGCAAACCGGGAAACAAGCAATTGAGTCTTGTCGAAGGACTTACAGCGTACTAATTTCCTTTGCTTTTGGAGGGATGATGTGGTTCTACTGGGCAGAAGCCAGCCGTGTCTCTCACCATATCTCTCTGAACTCTAGGACAAAATGGTCACAAGCCTGAACAAGAAGGTTCTGGAAGTCTATTGCCGCTGGACTGGAGAAAACGAGGCAAACCTGCAGACACTGCAGATGCTCGCAATGATAGAAAAACAGCTCATTTATTTACTAGACAGTCTGGAGAAAATCCCACCAGAAACGTTACAACAGGCTGAGAAAGCCAAAGAAAAGGAACAGAGGAGAAGGTAAGAAAAGGATCAGAGGATAAGGTAAGACAAGACCCTCTTCTGGAAATGGGGCCTCTGTTTTTAAATGTTGACAGACAAAAGCAAAGCTACTGAAAGAGCTAGATTTGTCAGATCAACCCAAGACACTGTAACAGCAATCTGAAAGTCCATGTGACCAATATATCCCATTTACTTCTAGAATGGTTTCACGTTCATAGTGCCTGTGCTTCCTGATCAGTGCAGCAGCCCACAGCTACATTAGAAAAGTGCAAAATATGGAAGAAGAAAAAAAAAACCAAACCAAATCTCCTGAGCAGATTCAATTATGAGAATCATCATTTTAAGAAGACAATTTGCAGTAACAATATTTAAACTGATTAAATATAAAATTACTCCTCTGTGGTTATTTAACACACTCAAAGTCTGACACTACCTGATATTTTGCCAGGCTTCAATAGGTGCATAAGGGCTCTTGGATCTGGCCATCCCCAGGTGAACCAGATACAGCGGGGGGGGGAAAAAAATAGTGTGAGGATTTAAAGCCAGAAGAGTAACATTTCCCATTTCCCTCCTACTTACTCTCTCTGCATCTTTCTTTACCTTTGTAGTAGAAAGGCTGTGATGCTTCTTCCTGATGTTCTGTGAACAGTTTTACACTTTTTAACTGACAAGAGAAATCAGACACACATGTATTCTACTCTGAGGATGGAGGAGAATGATTCAGGAAGGAATCTGACACCACACCACCCCCAAATAAAAAAAACAAACCGACCAAACACACAAAATGTTCAAAGGGCTTTTAAAAATTTCTTGAAGATCACAAGGTTAAGAATTAATTTCCTCTCTGATGCAGTTCAATAGCTCAAGCCCATTTCTTTCCAGTGCTGCATTTCCATAATGAATCAGAGGCAGTTAACAGTGCCAGCCTCCACTGTGCCTGTTCTGGCAAGTGTAGCTCCATGGATGTAAAATCTTCCTTGTCACATCTGTACATTACAGACTTGGTTGCACTGGTGAGAACTTAAGACACAATAAGCATCATTCACCCACAAGGCTGGTGAGCATCCTGGTCAACTGTGGAGCATGTCACCTTCTGAAGGTGGTACAGAGCATGTCTGTAACAGAACCATCTGACATCTCCATTTGCAAAGCTTGATGTGCTTTTTCTTCCCCTCACTCCAGAAAGAGTTGGATCAACTGCACAAAGTGTTTCCTTCCTCCCACCTTCACAGCAAGAAACTCCAGCATCAGCTATACCCAAGCTTTTAGACAAGCTGTGCATCAACAGCATATTTGATGTAGCTGCTCACCGCATTTAAGCCATCTTTTATTTGCTCCCTTCAACAGGCTCAGAGAGGAGAAGCTCAGACAACAGAAGCAGCAGCAGGAGGAAAAATTCCAAAAGGCTCTGGAAAGATTGCAGAGAACTATGGGAAAAAAGGTAAATGCAGTAACCCATAGGAATACCATGCCTCAACAGCCCATTTCAGAGAAGCTGGGGGTACTTAATCATAGAATAATCACAGAATGGTTAGGATTGGAAGGGACCTTAAAGATCATCTAGTACTTGAACATCAAGAGGAGTGCTACTAGGGGCCTCCATGGCTGGGTGGGATGGCACTCATATTCAGGTGTCACCTGATTTACAGGACTGCCACAACTTAAGCAACTGCTGGGAAGTCAGTTATGCTACCTGTTATTCCAGCTCAGCATCCTTCCATCCTCCTCCTATCCTTGTGTCTTGACCACACAGCCCCCTTCATTACTTGCCAGTTTTCACAGTAAGCTCATTTCAACTTGTTAATTTGGCAGTATTTAAAAGCATGAAAATCAGCAACTGAGGAACTGGGCAGCAGCAGGACACTCCCTACAGCAGCAATCCCCTAGACCAGCAGGACGCACTGTGCAGAGCTTCAGGCCATAGCTCCTGCAGCATGTTTTACAGGTCAACACGATGGTGAGGACACCCCAGTTCTCAGTCTCACACCAAGCCAGTGACAGCATGGGTGATTGAGAACAGGTGCCACGAGTCCCTGCTCCTTTACCAGCAGATATTTATTTGGACTTCCAACTTCCCCATCCTCTCGAGATCATACAAATAAGGTTTTACTCAGAAAAGTTGCAGGTGCAATAGTACTTCGTAGAAGCTGAAGCACTATCACATGCACAGCCTTCGGGTGCATGACACTCAATTTCTAGTAGAAAAAACACAGTTAACAGACATACTGAAACCTGTCTAGAAAACAGACAGCAAAGGGCCATGGCCCCTCGCAGCAGGAGAGCCTGGCAGCATGAAGCAGCTTTAGGTGCATGCTTCCAACACGCTATTCCAACACAGCACTGATGCACGTGCCTCTTTCTTCCTCTCCAGAGCACCACGAAGCTAGTGGTTCGTTCCAGCCCACCTGTCAGGAAGACGCACAGCCAAGAGCAAATGGATAAGGAGAAGGAAGAACAACTCTATTATTTCACTTGATAGAACAAGTGAAATAACCCACAGCACGGAGGGCTTGATACTGCTCTAGAAATAAAGTTTTTAATAGATCTGCAGCCTGTTAAAGAGTTTAAGCTGTTCACTTAGCTGATGAACTTCACAGTCCCATGAAATTCCCTACCATCTCCTACCCCAAGATCCCAGGGAAAGTTGCTGTGTGAAGCAATATTTTCCCCTCCCATTGATCTTCTGCTTAAGAAAATACATTAAAATTTTCTCTCATTTTGCTTCTTGGACTCCTGCCAGTAACAATGCTTCTATTATTCAGTTTTGATACAAATAGCTGTAGCCCTTCAAACCTGACCAGAGATGTATTGCAGTCCTGGGTAACAATCTTAGTTATGGGATGACTAATCACACATCTGTTGAAGGACTATAAAAAACGAAGGCTATGCTTTAATCCAAAGGATGGGTTTTCTTATAGACTTCACCACTGTGAAGAAGACACAAGTGAAGGAAAAACACAAGCTCTGCAGAAATCAAGCTGCTATGTCAGAGAAGTCTATACAAAGCACAATACCCAGTGATAAACTGACCATAAAAAAAAGCTTTATTAACCCTTTTGCACCAGCAGTTCTTCAAGTATCCATTGCCAGCAATGGAGTTTGAGCCAAGTGATCCAATTTTCGGCCCCAAGAGGTTAGCATTTTACATTCACTTACAAAGCTGAGTGAGGTACATTTTCAGAAGTAGAAAGATTCGGTTGCAAGTCCCATAAAAAGATGGAGTGTTCCTTGGCCATTTTAATAGATTAAGAACTGGTATGGTCCTTGAGAACAGAATAATGCAGGCATTGGGAGCTTGAGGTGTCTCAGCTTCCAGGGAGAGCATGGTGACCACTAAAGCAAGACCCAGTAGTCCCTTCAGCATGATTCCTCCTCAACCTTTCTGCCTCTCAGGAGTGGACTCCATGCTGCAGTCACAGGTACCAGGTAGAAGATCTCGTCTACCAAATAGTTTGGTTTGGAAACCCAGCCTGAGAGGGTTAAGAGATTCCCTGGACTCTGTAAACTCAGGGTGAGAGGAACAGAGACCTCAATGCTCAGTTAAGCTAAAGATAGAAAAATAAAACTGGTTCAACCAGAGGATAAAATACTGCCTACAAATCAGGATCTGAAGTTGAATGTAACTTGAATACTTTTTTTTTTTCTCCCCAAACAAGCATTTATCTGGACGCATACATAGTTCAGAAGGCACAGGAAGTAAAAGCATTTCTGAATGACCTCGTGTGAATTCAACATCAGTATAACTGTAAAATAAATAAATATGTGCAAGATTAGAAAGATCACAACGTTCTTCTGCATGACATTATCTTATTTCGTAAAAAAAATACACATACGTGCACACACATCTCATTGAGAATAAAAAACAGTACATACACCCTTTTATCAAACTCCTATACATAATTTTATAGGCATTCAGTACATCACCATAAGAAACATTTAAATTACTACCTTAAAATGTAACCAAAGGGTTTTTTTTTTCCCTATACAACCCTATACTTAATTAGGTGTCTGCAATCCAGAGAAGTACAGTACATACAACCTCTCCCCCCACCCCCAAGTGAAACTGCAGTTTTTCAGTGGGGCAAATCTTCCTAGGTAACAACTCTTTTCCCCTCATAAAATACTCTGACAACTGCATATCCTGTAAACCAGCCGGAAGCTCCACGTGCACGTGACACTCTGAGATATCAATAAAGAACAAGTGTTAACAGTGTTCAATTGAAAAGAAAAACCAACAATAAAAAAAAACCCCACAACAAAAAACCCAAACCCAAAATAAAAAGATAGTGGCCAGTTTACAGGGAACTTGGCAGCAGTTTATAGATGAGAAAATCAAGGTGCTTAAATTTATGTGACAGTCAACATTCCTCCCAAAAAGGGAACACAAAGATAAAACAAACCTCTCTCAGATGTTGTTGGACTCTTACCTAATCACTTACAGTGAGTACAGTTCTATTGCAGTTTTCTTTTTCAAGTTTTGCTGGAAGAATTCAGCAAAGTATTTGGGTCGCAGGAGTAAGGAAAGGGAGAAACTCAACATGAGCTACAAACTGATTCACAGCTAAGTTAACATTTAGAATCTAGCTTTCTAAAACAAAGATTTTAGAGCATCTCATTTTCATGGCATATGACATTAACTTTGTTACATGTTGACATGTTATTCCAGTTCTCTGCCAAAATATTGGGGCCGAAACACTTATTTTTTGTGTGTGAAAAACACTTGCAAATTTTAGCTCTTAATTCCTCACTGCCACTGGCTCCGGCAGGAGACCAACAGAAGGGAAGTTTTAACTGTTGTAGGCAGGATTATAAATTTGTACTTGTTAGCTGTAGAATACTTGCTTTCTGTGAAAATAGTAAATATTACCTCAGTTTGAAGTTTAATACAGTACTTCTCCCTGAAACAACACTGTACAGCAGTCTGCCTCAGTCTCTCCAACCACAAGGCAGACAGGGTATCTTACACAGGCACATCAAGTGGGATTTTCTTTTTTTTTTTCCTTTTTTTTTTCTCTTTTTTTTTTTTTTTAAGAAAATCTTTCAGCTGCAACTGTCCTTAGCAAATTGCAAAGACTGCAACCATAATCCAGTACTCCTAGTTTTCATATTTTCCTTGGAAAAAGACCCACAGTTATCTCACTCTGTCAAGACATGATTGCCCAATTTCTTTTTTCAAGTAACTGTTCTCAGTAACGGTCATTCCAGATCCTGTAAGTTTATTGTGCTTCCAGTGAACTGAGAGTTATCAGAACCTGCATCATCTTCAGCGGAATTGTGTGGCTCCTGTTAAAGCAAACAGACAGCATGAAGGGTTCAGTGCTTTCACCTCTAGATGCTTTTAATGCTTATCAGTAAGACTATCTTGACATTTATCCAAGACCAGAGAAATACTTCCCATGATTTAGAGGAAACCCAAAGCTTTCCTACTTTGGGGACCCGCTGAAACAGTACTGCTCCAGTTTTTCTTTGGAACACTTCAGATAAGCATTACTAATGGAGATAAATTTAAAATTTAAATTTAAACTATTTGCTTTTCCTCTATTAACTCTCTGCCATGGCCAATGATCCTAGTACTTCTAGGTTTATCATAGTAAGGTGCTCCTCTCAAATACAGAAGCTTTATTTTCTATCCAGGAGAAGCACACTTGGTAAGAATAACTGCATTGCAGAGTTTATCAAAACCAAAGCCCCACATGGTCACACAGAAAATGTGATTTATGCACATGCTAATCATTCATTGCTGCTCAGTTCTCAGCTGCTCCTACTCACTAACATGCAGTTTACCAGAACTGCAGATAACAAAATATTTACACAAGAAGTTTTCTGTGTTCAAACAACACTCACACTCAGTAGTTAACAAGAGCAAGTAGTGAAACCAAAGACTGTAGAAGCCAGCACACTTTTAAATCTAACTGTCAGTCCCATATAGACACAGCTCTGAAATCTAGGTTTAAGATTTTATTTCCCACTTCACACTCATCCTGTAGCCAGTAAGATATCAATTCTGATCCTCTTTCTTGACCCACTTAATATCTGCAGGACAGGATCGGGAAAACAGGGATGGGACACTTCAGTAGTAAATGAGTAACGTTTAGTTATTCATTACGCTGTAACTGAGGAAGAAAAACAACCACCTATAACATGTCAAAGGTTGGCAACACACACAAGATAAATCTTGCAGTGCAGCTCTCCACTTACTACTTCTTGCAAGTGAAATTAAATTCCCAATGAAAAACAAGGTATTTTCATTAGGCAGAACACCAGCAATCACAGAAAACTGTCTTCCCTTTCAAGCTAGGCAATAAGGCCCAACGACTGTGACATGATGTACCTGAAGTATGTGAACAGGTAAATCCACTGTAAGCTGAGAATGTGACGAGGAAGACTGAGAGCTCAGTTGAAAGGGCAAGTCTCCCTCTCCTGGGGAATCATCCTGTGAATGCAGAAAAATAATGTGATTACAAGAACCCCAAGCATCTCAGCACAATATGTCAAATTCCACTCAGCCTCAAAATCTTAAAAAAATCTGATAAAGCTACTGCACTGGACTAGTAAAGCCTTTTCACAAAGATATGTGGAAACCTAACTGCCACTTAAATCTGAACCTAGCTCAGTGTACAAGCTATTATCCTAACCTCCAAGTTGGATGAGGCTTTGAGCAACTTGGTCTAGTACAAAGTGTCCCTGCTCATGGCAGGGGGGTTGGAAGTGGATGAGCTTTAAGGTCCCTTCCAACCCAAACCATTCTATGATTCTATCATAATCAACCTGGAAAACTGCCAAGTGAAAAGGAAGGAATGGTTCATCTTCCAACAAACATAATACTCAAATAAGCTGCAAGTTTCATCATGTTGTGTGAAGCCGATACTTAACGTAGAAGTTACAAATGTTTACACCCAGCAGAAAACCAGACAGATGGAGAACTCTGCCCAGGGCTTCATTCGTATGTTGTTAGTAACAAAGTAGAGCAACTTACCCTCTGCCTGGATGTACAGACATACACCTGCCCAAAAAAGCGTGTGCAGCCTAAGGAGCTGTACAGGATGCTCCCCACAGTTACAGTGCCCATATGTTCCAGGTTGGACTGAATATTAGTACTAAATCAAATAAAAACATCTTACTAATTTCCACAGCGCATCTGTTTGGGCCCCCAGCAGTTGTATGACTGAACCAGCTCTAGTTTTAGGCATATCTAGATCTCTCTAAAGCCAGTTTCATATAAACTTCTCAGGAAGGTGTTTCTTGCAGGAAAATGCCCTAACGCACATGGTACACACTGCAGATCTCAAGATCCCATCTAGAGACAGTAGTACCTGAGTTCACAAATAGTCAGATTCTTCCATAAATGTGCCAGTTTGGGTAACAGAGAAGATGAGCATGTCTTTCCTCCTCAGCTCTTACCTGAAGAAGCTGAATTTGCACATACTGAGCTCCAGTGGCAGGGTCCCTTATTGTCAGCCCTCCATTTGGCAGAACTATGTTGCCACCCAGTCTGCCAGGAGTGGATGATGAAAAGTTGGTAGGGCTTACTTTACCACCTTTGCTTTTCCTCTGACCAGAGCCAGATGCCCCTAAAACAGAATAATTCCAATATTTAGATAGTCAGAAGCAAATTACCAAAGTTTCCTGCTAGTATTTTTAAATTTTATGCAGGTTTTTTACACTATACAGCAAATGCCTGGAACAATGCAATATAATTAAGCACCATCTGATAACTGCTAAAAGGTCAGACAGCAACCAGCTGATGAACTCCAGCTGCTGACTGAGCATTTTTTTACATGAATGCCATTAAAACCACATCACAAACTGCTAAGCTTAGGGCTCATCCCTGTGGTAGCAAAGAAATATCAGCATATTTGTGGAGTTATAGAAAGGAATTAGGAAGCAGAAATACATTTTCTATTTTTAATTTTGCAACTGATTTCCTGAGAAGTCATGTACATAATTTTTCCAAACTGTAAAAAGAACATAGTGAAGCTCATCTATTTCCAGAAAGATTTTAAGCACAGTCACGACCTTAAGCATTTTTCAGTTTAAAAAAAGATCAACTAGCTGCTTGTATCACAAGCTGAAAACCAAAAACCTAATCAAAATAAATGTAAGGATACAATACTGTCAACTGTTTCAGGGGTCTTTTTTTGTTTTTTAAATGTATAATAAATGAAAGGTTTGGATAACTTCTTTTTAAACACTGAACTTCCCTCTACAGTGTTCATTCAACCTAGTTAAACCAATTAGAAACACAAGACTCTCTAGACCACTTTGAGAAGCACATAGCAGCACTAAGGCAACAGCTGGTGAAAAGTGGACTACTGGGAGTCTTGAGTGGAAACAGATACAGGAATTTTCTGAGGTCATTTTAGGAGATGTGCAGATTAAGTACAAACATCTTTTTAAACTAATGTCCAAAAGACATGTTTGATGATACATGCATATGTTTGATAATACAAGCATGCTTATAATCAGCTTCATAAAGCAGTTATCCTTCCATTTGGTGATTCTTTGAACCCAACAGAATTTATGCAGGTATGCCTTTTACAAATACAGAAACATAACAGTGCTCAATTCAGAACTAGTCTCTTAACTCACCTTAAAAATTATCACCTTGATTTTCAGAGGTGGGAGGTATTAAAAGAAAGCAAGGAAAAACTAAACTCTCCCTCTATAAATATATATGTGTGTGTGTATATATATATACACACACATATATATATTTATATATACACACACACACATATATTTATATATATGTGTGTGTGTGTATACACACACACACACACATATTTATATATATGTGTGTGTGTATACACACACACACACACACATATATATATATATATATACATACACACACACAAATGATATTCCACCCCAACCCCAAGGGTAGACAAACTCAAACACCTGAGCTTGTGCAAGTCTGGTGAGACACGGACCATGTTTGATCTGACACAGTAACAGTGCATAATTCACATTAGACAGCTGGGAGTCAAACTACAGTTTAAGAGAAAGAGGACATATTTGAAATTATGACCTCACCCTGCACAAGAACTCTCTATGTAGCTACAGAGTAAGAGAGAGGTTTGAGTATTTCTAGATCACTAAGAAATAAATTCCTTAACACTCCATACACACTGTTACTAAGTGAAACACAGAAGCAAAACAAATCCAGCTGATGTTTTCATTGTCTGTACTGAGTAAAAGAGAACCCACTAGGTAAGACCAAAAGCATAAACAACAGAAATCTAAGTGACCTTAATTTTTTTTTTTTTATTAATAAGAAAATAAAAAGAGGATGAAGAGATGGAGGGATAGTGTCTTGTTAACAATCATGAAACATATGCTGCAGATTTCTTTGTAAACTTACTGTGAATTTGATATTCCACAGAATATGATCATCCTGAGTAACAGACAGTACACCACATGCATAATTACTTTAACTAGCAATAAACTGGTTGGGATCTTTAAGAAGGTACTCAGATACCTGCTCCCATTTCACTGCCAAAAACCCTAAATTGTATTTAGTAAATTTAACAAAATTCGTGGCTTCTCACCTGTGCTGCTCCCATTCCCTTTTTGTTTTCTTTTCTTGGCTAGCTGAATGGCTCTGTAGTCTGTTCTTGCAGACCCACTGCTCTCCTAGTGAAAAAAAAAATTAAAAAAAAAAAAAATTCCAAGAGATGCAAACCAAGACAACAAGCACAGACTAATGAGTTCTCAGTTGCAGTTTCCTTTTACACAGCAAACAATGAATTCTAGTTTTCCATGCTCTTCTGATCAGTTTCAGCTCTACATCTATAAATGTTCATATTTTAACAATGTAAACATTTACTTTGTAATGTAAATAAAAAGTTAAGTCTGCAGCAACATAGTAAAGCACAAAGAGAAGAGTACTTAAAAGAGGAATGAGGTCTGAGATTAAAATGTTTCAGTTACTTTCCCAGCCTAAATCTTTCCCTGGAATGAAATGCACAAAACACACCAGGTGTTCTTGGGTATTCCTGTAAATACCATTTCATCCTCAGTCAGATCACCACTTATTTTTTAATCCCTCATTTTGAAAGGTTCTCCTTTAACTCTCTCCTTCAGAATTCCAGTATTTCTTAAGAGAACTTATCACCACACTGATCTACTTCTAGCAACACAGTATTCAACATTCTACATCTTTCATCAAAAAAGCCAAAATGTATGATCTGCAAAATCTGAGAGAAAGGTCTCCCGATAAGGTATAAGCAGCAATGGATACCCCTAAAGTCAAGGGTGTCTCAGTCACCTAGGGATAAAATGAATATAGCTACTGCATACCAAAAATGAGCTGCCAGTCACTGTGCCAAGATCCATTTCTTTCTGTGCACTGTAGCTCCCTGGAGGGTTGGAGAAGACAAACTGCGTCACTACTTTACTGCCTTCTTGTTGACCAACAATGTCCGAGCTAGGAAGCAAATTCCGTTCAGCTTTAGTTGGTGTTAGTAACTCAGGCACATTGGTACTGCCGAGGCTACTAGAAGGAGTCAAAGTGGCTGTGTCGATTGTTAAATTATTGCTGGACGTCAAACCGTGCACATCTTGACTGGAATTCCTCACCGACAGAGATGCTAGTGAACCCAAGGCTTCTGCATTGACAGTCTGTACATCATCCAAATTTAAAGTGCTTTGCTGGAGAACTGTTGTGCTGGTTCCCAGCAAGAGAGAACTGTCCAGGCTCTGCGGCATATCGCTGCTAGCCACCAGTATCAAGGGATCGACTGCCTGGCTTAAAGAATTGTTACTGACAGGCAGGTTTCCTCCAAGCGTTGAGCCCACTGAAGCAACATCAATGGTGACAATTCCAGAGTTCACTAGTGCCATGTCTGTTGCAATTCCAGAATTGTTACTAGACACATTGGAAAACAGGGATACAAGGTCTATGTTGCTGAGATCGCTCTGTCCCGGACTAGTGAGTTCACTGCTGGGTGTGAGGGAACTGCTTGCTTCGAGCTGAGTCAGGAGATCTGGAAGAGAAGAATTTGTTTATAAGACAGACCTCTCCTCAGACAACGGGGAGGAAAACATGAAAGATCGAAGGAGGAAGCTTAAAACTCCAGATTCTCAGCCTACTAAAACACTTCCCAACTTCCCTGAAAGCAGATTTAAGGAAAAGAAGCTTACTGAAATAAGTTCACTCCTTTACTAAGAAATTTCAGTTACAAAAGCCAAAAGATAACACTAAGGCAGTCCAGACTAAGTTAGGTTGTGGAGAAGTGGACAAAGGAGTGGAAAAATAAGTGCTTTTAGTCCTTGCTCATATTTTACAGATGGCATGAAGAAGGACAAGCTCTACTTCATTCAAAAAAGTTGAACACTCCTATAGTTTGAAACAAATACTTTACCTGGGCTGAAGTTATGTTGTTTGACCATGTGCGTCTTCATACTGTGTTTGGAAGTGAACAATTTATTACAACTGGATACAGGGCAACGAGTCTTTAACGAGTCCACATCCTGAAGGTGTTTTTTGGAGTGAATATACAGACTACTTCGTGCCGAAAATTTTGCACAGCAGCCTGCAAGAAGATATAAAAGGCTTTGAAGTTTCATCTAATTTCAATTTGATGTTCATACTTAGTGTCTTAAGAAAACAAATCAGAGTAGTTCTGCAGAACTCTTATTTGCTATCTTGCAGTGCCTGTGCATACATTCAGAGGAATAAGAAGAAAGCCAAATATCTACTTCCTCGTTTTACATCCAGGACATCTCAGTGGGTAGGAGAGTTCAACAACCTGTTTCTGACAAGAAACTCTTAAGTCATTCAGTGTAATGCAGAGCCTTTCCCCACTACGGCATCTTAAACGTAAACTCTTCATGACAACTGCTAGCAGAACCATTAAAAGGAGAAACAACTGCCAAGCAGAGCTGCTTTACTTTATGAAGCAGAATATTCCACATCAGACCCAAAATCTTTGTTCCTGAAATCCTACTGAAGTGATGGAGGTAGCACTAAGACACTCACGGAGCATCAGTGAGGCTCCTGTATGACCACAACAGATACCATTCACACGGCCATCAACCATCCCAGCAACCACTAAACACTCGAGATAGCATGTCACAACAGCAAAACGTGGCCTTGAAGGTGCTGGATGCGATCACTTTTTACTACTTCTGATGAATCAAGTGCTACAGAAGAGCTACAGAAACTGAGTATCAGAAGTAAGATTTTCCAGAGTAAAGTAGTTTTGTTCATCATAAAGAAAAAAAAACAAACCAAGCCAAAGCGTGAACCAATGTTTTCTCTGCAATCCATGAATTTCAGAATGATCTCTCATTCAGTTACAATATCTGCTGTTCAGTTTTACCTCTTCAGACTCTGTCAGAAGTCTCACTCTGAATTTTTCCAATCCTGCAACAAGTTTGCATTTGGGGAAAACACACACAATCTTGAGGCAATATACACACTGGTTACCAATTAACACATACAAGAGTGGAACAATACCTTCTACGGGACACTCGAATGGCTTTGTACCAAGGTGAGTTATACTGTGGCCTTTCAAGTGTTCTGCTCTCGTGAAGGACTTCCCACAGCCTTCTACTGGGCACATAAATCTCCTGTCGTCTTCGTGTTTCCTACAAGGGAAGGAAATTGCCATTGGCATGATTAAATCCACTGCTGATTAAATACTGGAAGAAAAATGAACTAACAAACAAACGGCAAATGACTTGGAGCAGTATCATCAGAAAAGGCTACCTTTTATGTCTCAGCAGCTTGGACATACTGGTGAAAGACCAGCCACAACCTTCAAAGTCGCAGATAAAAGGCCTTTCACCTTAAGTAAAAAAAGGTTACATTAATAATTTAATACAAAAATACAAACTGCTACTAGAAAAATATCAAAAGCTGCTTAAATTGAATTAATTTAAGACAAGAAGACTCAACCACCCTCTCCTTCAATTCACTGCAGAGTGCTGTGACGCCCCTCCCCCCTCGTACAATCTGAGCCTTCTTTACCTCAAGGCCATTGCATCTTTATGCGTCTGGGACCACAGATAATGATAAATCCATCTCATATTAATCTGAGCTATTTGAAGGTGCTTCAATAACAAGTAACAACATTATTCAAAACAGAAACACAACTGAGATGTTTTTTCCTGTTTTCCTGACCTGTGACCATGTGTTGATTACAATACAGTGAAGCAGGTGAAGCTGGTTTCCATCACATCTATGAACTTTCACTTAAAGAAAGTGACACTTTAAGAAAAAACCCTAAAATTAAAACCTACACTGTAAAGCCATGAAACCAGGAAAACAGAGGACAGTAGAGGGTACAGACAATTCTCTTTAACACATTATAAGGTGTTTTAAAGAGAAAAAACAGCTTAGCAGGGGTCCTTACAAGTCAGGAGTGCTTGCTTGATTTGAAATTTATCTTCTTGCTGTTTCAAACAGTACAGACAATTCTCTTTAAAACATTACAAGGTGTTTTAAAGAGAAAAACAGCTTAGCAGGGGTTCTTACAAGTCAGGAGTGCTTGCTCGATTTGAAATTTATCTTCTTGCTGTTTCAAACCTTGGTGCATACAGTCCACATGTTCTGAGGTTTTTTAGCTTTTTGTTTTGATCAAGATTAGAATTTACACAATGTTTTGAATGTCTATGAACTCGGGAATAGAGTTGGGAGAATTTTTCTGAACAGATTTCAGATGCCAAATGCCATGGCTTTGCACATTCATAGCTACTTTGCATTTGCGAGTTCGTTCAGCAGACTCCTACCCCCTAGAAGGCCAAGAGCGAAACGTTTTCACTGACTCCAAATAACTAATGCCACACTTTCTCCCTTCAAGACTTTCAGTTTTTCCAGCAAACTGAAGTCCACCTTCTGTGTATTATCTTCCATGTGCTTCCGCAGGTAGAAGTCACCCTCATGAATACCTGTGTGACTCCTCATGTGGATTTTCAGTCGGCAGGCTTTGTCATACTGCTTGTTACAGCCAGGGAACGAACAGGAGAACTGCTCTTGCTCTCTGAAGTGGGCTCGATTATGGGAGAATAACGCACTCACTGTGATAAATGTTCTTTCACAGCCTGGGGAGAGAAGGGAAACAGCACATCAGCTTGATAGGAAACTGAATCAGGAAAACTGCATTCTTTTCTCCCTCCCAACTTTTAGTAAAGGACTTTGTGATCCTTAACACACTCACTGTGATAAATGTTCTTTCACAGCCTGGGGAGAGAAGGGAAACAGGGCATCAGCTTTGGTTAAGAAACTGAATCAAGATAACTGTGTTCTTTCCTCCCTACCAGCTTTTAGTGAGGGACTTTCTTGATCCTTTTTCCAGGGTATTACATCCTGACACATGGAAGAACCAAACAGCGTAATCCTAAACTACGTTACTCCTGGGGATTACAGTTATTTAGAAAAGATGGGCAATAAAAATACATACAGCCCAGTTTCAGGCATATCACTGAAGACTTGTGCTGTGACTTCAGGCGTTACTCCGCACTAGCACAAAGTCACACGTAGGCTGACCAGTGCGGCATCCTCCAGCTCCCAGACCTTCCCCCTGGATAACTGAGGGGGCCTGGAGCAGGGCCCTTCCCCAAGGCTCGGGGGGCGATCCCGAAGGGGAAGGAGGGGCAGCGGGGAGGAGAAGCGAGCTGAGCCGCGGCACAGCCTCAGGGCAGGGATCCCCGCCTTACCCGGGCGAGCTATTTTCTATCAGGGGAGGGAAGAGAACCGGCCCCAGAGGCCCGGCGGCGGCTTACCGGGGAAGTCGCAGCGGTAGGGCCGCTCGGGCTCCAGGTGGCTGCGGCGGCGGTGGGCGGCGAGGCGGGCGGCGCTGGGGAAGCGCTGGCCACACGCCTCGCACTTGTGCGCCGCCTCCTGCT